GGACGGTAACGTCCACCAGTTTTTGTTTTTCTTCGCGGAGCTGACGCCTTAGACGAAGCGAGTAGTTAATGTAAAATAGGTAAGCTTACCAGATAATCAAGGCAATGGAGGCGAACAGGAGGGAGTTCAAAAGAAAATTGGACAAAACTCTCTTGTAGGGCCGTCCGAATATCTACTCCCCCGTCTAACTGTCTTATGGCATTGGAAGTTAAGCATTTAATTCTCGGTTAATGAGTGTAAATGAATATTTAATTGTGCTGAAAGTGATAAAAGAATATTAAATTAAAGCCACTTTTGAATGTTTTAATGAGCTTAACAGAATTAACTTCACGAATAGAGGCAAAGGTTCGCATCCCAGGTATTTGTCTAGAAGAAGTCGCTGCGATCACCGGAATCGTTTTCGTTGACGGTTTATCTCTGACGATGGACTCCCACAAGAGCCCGAAAGCTCAGAAGATTAAAAGTACAATTCCGGTGATCGCAACTTCTTCTTCTAGGATCAACTTCATCAACATGAACTCCTATAGCTCAGGAACTTATGCCTATTGATGGAAATTCGACCTTAGATTGGTGGAAATTAACGGAAAGGGGGAAAGTCGGGCTGCTGAGCATGTAAAAGTAGTTTACTATTATAAGTTAAAGGCAAATAGGACATCTAAAGACAGTCTTGCCGAAATTGTTAGAGGACATAAAACATGCCCACTGGGACGTAGAAAAGTCTACCAGACTCACCTGGTAGAAAGGTCAGGGAGTACTTTAGGAATTCATCGAGCCAGACGCGAGCTGTACGTAGATGGTTATTATGCAGGACACTGGTGGTACCGCCGGGCCAGGAGTAGGGGGAAACCTTGCGGAAGACGTGGCCCACACGGCTGCAGGGGATGATCAGCAACTCACCGTGACACTGCCAAACACGCAAGGACATCTCCACATTCTCACCACCCCAAACTACCATACCTTCATCATAGGAGCCTAGCTGAGTGGAAGAAAAAAGGTACAGATGAGCAGGTTGGAAGAGTTGCATAGCCAGAGAGAGCTGCTTATATGGAGCAAATTTTAAAAAAAGATAATTTCCTAAGAAAGTGTTCGATACAAGTGTCTTTTATGCCAGCTATCGGGGG